CAATCCTCAATGTATGGGAAGGACTTGTTCCTCAGAGATTTGGCATTAGGATCTACCTACATCATTCAAATATATGCAATGGCCATAAATGTAGAGGATGGTTTTACCTAAAAGAACTCAATTAAGTACGTGATTTTTTATTGGATTGTTACCTTCAACCAGGCAATCCATACAGGATCATCGCACAAAAATGTTTTAGTTAGTTCATTCCACCCGAAGCCCGAGGTACGTTTTATGAGTGCCACACTAACATAAGTTTTCCGCCACACGTGAATCTTCAAGCTTATGTCAGGGTCCGCACAAATGGTACAATTTGGAAACTTTAACTTCAGTCTTCTCTCGATCTCGAACAAGTATCCTAGCCTAAAACCGTTTTCTGCCCTCTACCCCTCATTAACCATATCTTTTAAAATATCTATAAGGGCCTGCTCCTCAGCAGGACTCCAAACACGACGTCGTGTTGTTTGGGAGGAGGAAGCTTTCCCAATTTCATGGCTAAATGAATAGTTGATGATTCTACCTGTGCAGACAATATTATTTATAATGTAATACCCTCGCCTTACAAAGAATAAAGACATGATATGGTAAACGAAGGATGGAAATGGTAAAGAATGCAATTAAAATCAAACAAGATCCCTTAAGAACTGTAGGTGCGGAAAGCCTTGGTACAAGACTTCTCAAACATAAACAAACCCTTCTTAAGAATAAAAACATCATCCCTTAAAACCTGTCATTAATGGACAAAACAGTGAAATAATAAACCTCGTAAAGAAAAGAGTAAAGGTCGTCTCTGAGCTAAAAATTGTTCAACTAAAACACATTATGATCCCAATCATTAAACATATCACGTGCCAATCGGTCACGGAACTGTGTCCATTCTGGGCTTGCCTCCACCTGGTCTATCAAGTCATCTTCATTCGTAGCTGTGGACACTCCATGAGTCGGTATCTCAGGGACTAGTGCTTCCATGGGATCAGTAGTCATTGATGTACGTATGAAGTTGTGGAGGAGCGCACATGCCATGATAATGCGATTCTGTGTTCGAATGGAATAGTATGAGCAACTCCTAAGAATTGCCCATCGCATCTTCAAAATTCCAAACGATCGCTCAATCACATTTCTTGCCTTAGCATGGCGAAGGTTGTATAATTCTCTAAAGTTTTTTGGCCTGCGGTTTCCTGTACCCCATTACTGTAAGTGGTATCTAACACCCCTATATGGCGCTAAAAACCCCGGACCATTCGTATACCCACCATCCACCAAATAATAATTTCATGTGCGACACATTGTGTAACAAAGATTAAGCCACTAATATGTGTTTTAATTCCCTAGCTTTATGAATAATATAATTATGTAAGAGCTAATACCATTTTGAACACGTAGAGCATGCGACCTAGTAACGGCATCGCGCAGGACTCGACTATCCGCAGCTGACCCCTCCCAACCACATAGCATGTACACGAAGTTCATATTTTTATCGCAAACGCCAAGGACATTAACAGATACACTACCCTTACGGTTTCTATATCGTGCCTTATCAATAGAAGGAACTCGCACGTCAATGTAGGTACCATCTAGTGCTCCTAGACATCCCTAATCAAAGAAAGTAATGAAAAGTTATTACTTATATGGAGTAAATTAACAAAATTGTAAGACGTTAAGAAACGTGTACTTGGTTACCTTGAACCATTTCCGCCTTTCATCAACACAATCAGCTTCAACTGCCTTTGGTTGCACAGCTAGGATACGGTGAACTCGCATCACCGCATCAAGAACCCGGTTAAAGTATTTGCTTATTGTCCTACCAGATCTTACAAAATCAAGCTTTAAGGTGACATTTTCTTATGATGAGCTAGGACTGACAAAAAAATTGCAACTTGCTCGCTTGGTGCAACATTTCTGGATGGACGAAGGCCGCCAGAATTTTCAAGAATGTAACATAAGCGGCCAAAGCAGTTACGATCCATACGGAGGTTCTCGAGACAAGTTGTGTCGCTCACGTCGACCAACTTTCGCATGTAATTGACCTGATATGGGAGTCTATCGCTAAATCGAAATGAAGGAACGTGCTCACTGCTGGAACGTTGACGTCTTCGACGAGGATGGATGAATTTCATATAGTAATAAATAGATAGTAACAAAAAGATGTTAACGCTACTGATAACCTCTTCCAATATTGCAACAACCGCTAATTCTTCTGCATTGGTATCCATCTACAAATGTGGATCAAGATTCAAGAACCTCATTCACACTTTGTATAGACTACGTAATGGGTTTCTTAAACGCTGGTAAAGAACATCTAGAACCTCATCAAAATTGTACAAAAGTTATAATCACAGAAGTTATAATCACATCAAACATGTAAGAAACATATGTGTTAAAGTGTAACTCAAACGTCAGAACACCACAGGCAGATTGAATTGCAAAAAACATTTCGAATTTCTTCAGAAAACATAGTAAGACTCACAAAATAATCGGTTACAGTTTACTACATTGTTGGCATGAAGTAAACGGATCAATTTACTACATTGTTGGCAACCCTGCAAGTAACTAAACTGAATCAAATACTGTAAACTATCATTTCCTCCATAGACCCCCAGATAAAATGAGCTTTCATTAAGTAATGCAGCAGAAAAAT